GAAGTAATACACTAACTTACCCAGTGACCAGTGTTTATAAAGAGATGTCCTTCATCCTTCCTCCTCAGAGGTAGGTGCGCTTCCCAAATTGTTCACATTCCTGTGATTTTTTACCTCCACTTCCATCACTGGAATTGGATGAATGGGTGAAGCGCCTGCAATAAACAAATAGATACATTAACTTCATATGTATGATTACCGCCAGATAGAGTAATTCTAAATATTTTAAAACCTGAATTCCTAAAATCCATTTCAGAAAGGGAGCTGTTATTTACATCCACGATTGTTATATATTCATCACACTCTATATCTATCCCTATTAAAATATTAAAATTTAAAAATTTATTATTTTCATCCACGCCACATTCCAATATTGTCCTTATTAAATTCATCCATTCACACACTATAGATTCACATAAATTTTATGTATTCATGTCACTCTAAATACATCCCTAATATAAATTCAAAATTTTAAAAAATCGTCATATTCATCTCCATTATATATAACATCAACCTTCTCACAATTCAGTTTAGACCAAAGATTATAAAATAAAGGAAAAATTGTAGCAGCGGTCCCTAACCTTTTCGATTTTTGCAAACTTTACTCTAACCTTCAATTTGTACCAATAAAAGTCCCTAACCTTTAATAAATATGCACCTGGAGTCCAAATGAATTGAAACCATTCATTTGACCGTTAGTTGACCAAAAAAGTCAAAATTTGATCAATTTTGATCAAATTAAAAAGGGCAAAATGGTATTTTTCACTTTCCTTACATTAAATAAGTTATAAAAATTAAATTAAAAAACAAAAAATAAAAGAAAAGGTTACCCCACCCCCACCAAATCAAAACATCGACGATGACCTGTTATCGACCACCGGCCACCACACCGTCCCACAACATCAAAACCAGAAATCAAATCAAAATCACTCCTCCATCGATCACCAGCCACCAGAAATTGAAAAAACTGGAACCTTGTTCATCAAAACTCACCCCTCCAATGTCAAAACCATAAATCAAATCAAACTCACTTTCACATCCCACGCAAACAATTGGAGGTTGTCCTGTGGTGTGGGTTCAAATAAAAACTGGAACCTCGTTTTACACGTGGAGTTAGGTAGAATTTGAAGCCAAAATTGGAGCAATTTGTCGCACAATTGGATCGATTGGAGGTATACCATCATCATGATGGATTGTAGGTTACCAATTTGGTTGAAAAAGAGCTCCAGATTCGTCAATTGGAAGAGCCGAAATTTCGTCTGATGATTTGTGTGATGCCAATTTTGCGGCAAATTATTCCCAAACCATGAATTGAAGGAGATGAAACAGAGTGCTGACTAGAGTCGTTAGATTTTGTTGTTGGACCGCACTACTCCCATGGTTTTGAAGGCTGATATTGACTCTATATCATGTTTGTCCAATTGTTTGTTTGGGACAGTGTGGTGGCTGATGGTCGACCCCCACTAACGGCTTTGATTTGATGGGGGTGGGGTGATGCCCTCTTTTTCTTTTATTTTTTGTTTTTTAAGTTAATTTTTTAACTTATTTAATGTGAGGAAAGTGCAATGTCCCATTTTGCCCTTTTTAATTTGGTTAAAATTGAACAAAATTTGACTTTTTTGGTCAACTAATGGCCAAATGGATGGTTTCCATCCAATTGGACTCCGGGTGCAAATTTATGAAAGGTTAGAGACCTTCACTGACACAAATTGAAAGTCAGGGTAAAGTCTACAAAAATCAAAAAGGATAGTGACTGCTACTGCAATTTTTCCTAAAATAAAACGATAGTCTATAAACCATAAACCCCTATAATCACCGTCACCATCAATGTGTAATGAACTCTATTATTTTATTGAAATTGAACATAATAATTTCAAAGGACTCAGCAATTATTCCATTAAAAGGGAAATTTTTGATAAAAAATAAATAAAAAAATTGGCATTTTGCCGACCATCATAAAAGCATCACAAAGAGGCAATTCTCTACAAAAGTGAACAATCGAGTTGACATTTACAAAAAACAATAATGATGTTGATTGCTTTAGTATCATACACAAATCACATGTCTTGCTTAATAAAACCTCCCGATTACAAGAGTAAATGGAACTCCAATTGAGTGCCATGTTCGGAAGTATTGTCGATTAAAGTGAATGAGGAAATATCTAAAATGGTTTCTCACTTCTAAACCCATTTTGACGTTCTGATTATGCAAGGTTAAATCAAGCTATTGGATGAAAAATGTGGTCTAGACCAATTTATTTAGAGTTGTAAATGATCACAACTAGGCTAAGCCAGAGTTTTTCATTTTCAACAATTCATTGTGACGTATCATTGAACAGAAGTAATATAAAATGGTATGTATTCTCTCTAATAATATCTCTTCCATTGTTGTTTTGATTTTAGTTGAAGAAAATATTTTATGAATATTAGGATTTTAGTTAAACACAAATTCTTAAAAAATATAAAAAGGTCCAAAAGAATTTAAAGAAAATAAATATTAGTGAATGGATTTAGAAAGATAATTTTTTTTATTTAATTTTATATATGTATATTTAAGTAAATTTATATAAAATTAAAAATATAATATAATTGTCTTTTTAAAAGTGGATATATATATATAAACAGTGGATACAAATAGCGGCTCCCTTTACAAAACAGTATCTTGGTTTTGTCACAAAATTATTCTTCTATATCCACCACTTGTTCAATTTAGTAATCACATTTTATATTCAAAATAAATTATGGATTTATATATTTAAAGTGCATATTATAAGTATTTAGAAGATCATAAAGATTACAAGTATAATGTGTAATGAGCAGAAGGGTAAGCTAACTTTTAAAACTATAGTTTCTAAATATTTTTTTGTAGTAGGTTCTACGTTGCTAAAAGATAAAAAGTACATAATATTCAATAATTTTGAGGTGGTCTTTTCAAGATGCATGTAATAACATGCCAAAATTCGTTTTGAACTCCTCAAAAACATATATAAGTAAACTTTCTGAACCAGTAATCATGTGTTATAAACCCTAAAAATTGCCCCCAAATTACATAAACCACTCCATTACAGTTAGCAAATACTTGCGAATTGGAGGGATTCCAAAACCGAAAGTAGGAAAAAAGTTATATCAAAACCAATATGGTGGAAGCATATAATCACTGATTGTGAACTGAACGTATCTCAAACCAACACACAAGTGAACAAGTAGATTACAAGGGTGCTTGAGTGAATATGTCGAAGGAACTCAACAAAATCATGGTTTAAAAAACTATTTGAGGTACACCTCGAATCCAGCCTCACATGAAGCTACCACAAAATGCCTCAAAACCCACACCTTAAATGCCATTGGTGAGGCGGCTTGAGCTTCAAGCCAAGCGAGGTGTTTGGTCATTGCCTGTTTGTCTTGCATCTTTCAAACAGTTAATTATTGGTCTTAGCTTCTTAAGTTATTTTCTTCATAACCTAAAATGTTTAACAGGGTCTTTTATTTTATTATTTATACCTATATGAAGGAAAATGGAAAGGAGAATATATCAATGCAATTGGAGGATGATGACAAAAAATGAAAGAAATTTATAACGAGGCCGATGACAACACTGTTAATGATTCTCTTAAAGAACATATTAGTAGTGATAATTTAAGAAATTTTTGGATTGTCTCCAGTTTTAGTAATAGATTATAATTTTATTATGTGATTACTAATTTGGGACTTATTATTTTTTAGATGTTATATGTTTAATTGCAAGTTAGACTTTAAATTTTGCTAATTAGTTTATTATTGAGTGTTTTGAAAGGTCTAATGAGCATAGTTTTGTACTTTTATATTCTTTTGAATTCATACATTGTTCTACCTTGAGGCTTACACTTCAAAACGCCTCAAGACTTGCGCCTCACCTCGATCAAGCCTTTTTAAATATTGGGCAAAATAAGCCCATAATTTGGGAGAAGGAGTGCTCTCTCCTGTCTTTTGATTAGGAAAGTGACACATACTAGTGGTAGCGAATGCTTCTTAAAAACATAGACTCCGCTAAGGGGTATAGAGGCTAACACTTGCCTGGTACTAGAAGGTCGGAAGGAGATGCATTAGTTTCTTTAAATGAAAAGCAATATCTCTAACTGCTACTATTTGGGGAGAAATCAGCACAATTCAAATTTAGGTAAGAAATTTTCAAAAGGAACGCTATAACGTTTTCAAGAATGCATATTGATATTTACCGTGATCATCATCCTTAATTTTGATTATGAGTGCATATTTTGCATATAGCATCATATTTAACAGTTCAAACAAGCAAAATGACAACAGATTGTATGTAATTTCACATTTTCTTCAAAATTAAAGACATAAGAAACAAGTTAATTTCCCTCAACAACCAATATGGAAAACTCATACACCCAGTTATGTTATGTTTCCTTCGAAAATGATAAAGCATTCCCATAATTATCAAAATTAGTCGTTCTTTATCCCATGTTTTCAAATTGCCCACACATAATGAAAAAGTAATAAAAAAATCCTTAAAAAATTAACCTTCAATGCACCAATTTAACTACAAACAACAAATTTTTTAAAATGAAATTCCCAGATTCACCATTTATCCAGCATTTTAGGTCTAAAATACAGAGAAATCAAAATTACTTATTTACTTAATTACCTAATTTCACTTCAAATTTATAATCAATCATTTTATACCTTCAATTAAGAGGTCAACGATCAACTCCACCAATTTCATTCAAACAATAAATATCTGCATTACCTTCAATAAAATAAGTCGAAGAAGGCCACCCACGCGCAGAACTAAACGACATCGTTTCATCCTCCGTCAAGAAATCTGACTGCTTTACCCTATTCGGCACGCCCTCCGTGGCCAAATTCTCAACCACCTCAATAAAACCTTGCGGGTGGCGCATGATTCTATTGCTGTTGGATGGAGGAACCCAATAAGAATAACCGGGTAAAAAGGGAAGCCAATCGGGCGCAGAACGGCGCACGACGATTCTGTGAATGGCCTCCTCTAATCTCTTAATTCCGGCGCTTATGACCTCGGCGGCGGCCTCGTGTGAAGAAGATTGGTCCACCTCCACCTCAATCAATTCTACCTCGGTTTTACCGGATTGGTCGGAGAAATGGCGGCGGGTGATTAGGGCCCGAGGGGCAGAGCCGGGGTGAAGATTGGCGCGTCTCAGGGCATGGGAGAGGATTCGCGCCATCGCCATTGGAAATCTAAAATTGTATTATAGAGGTTAAAATATATAGGTTTTGGGAATGGTCGTGAATGTTAGTTGATCTAAAATGAAGCTGGCTTGCTTGAATTGCAAGTTTGCAAGTCAAAAAGGGCATGCTAACCAAATGGCTTAAAAAAATGAAAAGATAGGTAAATATTGAATTTTAATATAAATAGTACAAAAAAATGTGAGAAAATACTACCAAATCAAGGGATAAAAAATATTTGATGGGTTTTTAATTAAATTTATTAAATTATTTTAAACTAGGAATTTATTTTGGTTTGTTAATATATTGGTGGTTACATTAACAAAACATACAAATTTCAAAAGAAAAGTAGGGTACAAAACGATCAAATTATGCATTCCTAAAGGCCGAATAAAAAAAAGCATGCTACATAGACAGAGTGAGTGACAGAGTTTTTTACAAGAATGACAATTGTCGTTATTTTATTGGACAATTAGAAAGAAGAAAAAAATGTGTCACACGGGTGCTACAAATATAGCACGTGTAAAAGCCCTTGTCACTTAACACTGTGCAAGCAACATTATTGGACTAAAAAATATGACATGCCTGTATACTGACAATATTTGGGACAAAAGTGCGAGCAAAGTCCTTTCAAACGGGCTCTTATTGATGGATTATAAGGATTGCCTTGCAACTTTTTTATATTTTGGTATCTACGCAATTGATTTTTGTTTTTTTATGTAGTAAAATGTTTAGTAATTATATTTGATTTTATGCCTATTAGCATAATGAGCTAAAGTTTTAGCAAGAATGTTGCCATATAAATCAAGATTGAATTTTCATCATGGAAAATAAATTGTTATGCTTGATATCTTTAAAATATGGGGATGTTAAACCTTTGTGCAAATATATCATGTTATCATCAAATGCTAGTGTTAATTTTGTAGTGGTGAAGAAGTTCCAAAGCTTTAATATGAATAAAAATGTGGGGGTGCAGAGCTCAATGGATGAATGTGAATAAAAATGTGATGGTACAAAATTATTAGTCTAAAAAGAACCTGAACAAATTATAATCCATAGGGACAAATAAATCATCAAGAGATATGGGCTTAGGCCGCAATGGAGTAACCCAACTTTTATGGGTAAGGATTTAGAGAAGGTTTAATTAGTAGAAACTTTGTGACTCATAACAGTACTATGTTAATTGTGCTCGACTTAGGGATGGAAACAGAGCGGCTTGGAGTCGGGGCAAATATTATCATCTCCATCCATCGGGAATTTTTAAGAGTCGAGGCGGGAAGGAGATTAAAAATCCGCATTTACGTTCCCATTTAAGTTTTTTTTTAATATAAAATAATTAATTAGAATATATCTAATTCACAATGCCAAGCATGCTTTAAATGGTGCGATCCTTTTTCATGTCACTTTATGGAAAGAGGTAAATGATTAAACTTTTAGTTCAATTGCATTCATCAAACACAATTATTTGCACAAGTGGAAGAAGGTAAAATCAAAGAAAGTATTTGTTTCAACTCTTGTGCTTCCTAGTCCTTTCTTGGATGCTCTGCTTCTCTAGGAGAATCATAGGAAAAAAGATAACAAAAAAATAAAAATAAAATTGAAAAAGCTAAAGTTTTGAACTACAAAAACATAGGCAAAAAGAGGCTAAATGGCTTGTATATCTCCATCTCATTGCTCACTCCCGGGAGAATTTGGTGTTCTAACAAAGCGTCCCTGCAACATCGAAAATTGATACATGTTAGATGCCAAATTCATACTACGTATTAAGTACAAAAATGAAAACAGATCTCACTAAACAATAAAAAAGTAAGACACGAACGTATTAGACAAATATCTTTTAAGATGTAATGATTATCATTAAACTTTGTTGAACTATAAACAAGTTTAGTCGTCAATATTAAAGAAAATGGTAATTGCTTTTTACTTATTTTATACTTTCACTATCTTCTGCGTACTTATATCTCTCATTGATCACCCAAACTATTTGGAACGTACCTTCATTCTAGGCCGTCGATCGGCATTGACTTTTCTGACTTGATATCTGATCTTCTTAGAGAAAAGACGTGTTCGACGCTTTTCTTTGTAACGTAACACACTGGCCTCTCTCACTCCACCAGCGTCGGAGAACAAGTCTATTTGGGCCAACCGAGCCTGCACCCATATAATCAAAGAGCAATTATTTAGTGCTACGAAGATATGGAAACGAATTTAGTGCTAGAAATAGTTGAAGCAGAAACATAAGTAGACGTCTCCAATCTTTCAAGATAGTTATATTTTGGTGCCCAACCTCAACCTTTTTTTGGCAACCGAAGTCCATGTGTATCGAACCATCAAAAGATCTATCACATTGGCGCTATGAAAGCTCATTGTAAACTATAAATTGAACTAGATAAATCGTGAAAAATATAACATTGAAAATATGTCCCATGCACGTTTCACTAGCCAATATGATGGTTTTATGGACGGTTTCCATCTACAAGAACCTCTATTGCCAAAGGATACGTTGTTTGGTAACTCAACTAAAATAATAGAAATAGGGTTCCAATCCCCTAAACATTCAATTTCATGGTGGGAGATTAAAAAGAGGAACATACTTGAACATCATTGCCGGCAGCGTCGGAGCCTGGAGCTTCACCGGAAAATGGCGACCCCTTATCGGACCACGCGTTCAAAACTTTGTCATGGTTCAATTTTAGGAGCAACCCTGCATTTGGTTTGGCGATTTCCTCATCTTTAGATGCTTTCTTAGCCAAGTTGTGCTCGATGGTTCCATTGGAAATCGTTTTCTCCCCCCCTAATTTGGAATTCTCGATTTCCGATGGCTTTTCGATTTTCATTTTCTTCTTTTCTGCAGGATTTTTAACCATTTTTGGATTGATATCAAGAACATTTACACTAGGGAACCTCCACCAATCTCCCTCATCAACAGTTTTCATTGCCCTCACTGCATTTCTCATACCAAATCCAAAATCAAATGCATATTCAAATCCTAGGCCTATTGGATAACCATAAACAAAATTATTCATTTGGCTAATATAAGTATTGGAATCATCCACCGACTCATTTTCAGTCCTCAAATTTCCCATTATACTATCAATACCACCGTCAATTTCCTCGTCTAGTATCGACTCTGCATCGAAATCTTCATGAAACTCATCGCAGAGTTCCACCGAATTCACTCTGGAATTGATTTCTCCCGGACTTTGGCATGGCCTTTCAAAGGAATCAGCCCCTTTCGACTCGATTGGCAAGGTGGGCTTTTCTTGTATTGGTGGATGCATGAAGAAGCCGGAATTATCGATTAAAACCAAGTCCGAGGGCCCGTATGGAAATGCGATATCGTTGTTTTTACTATGTGGTTTGTTGAATTTGCAAGGCTTTGTGAACTTGTTGGAGAATAATTTGGGGTAGGCTGTGGAAAGAATTGCTGCTGCCTCATTGTAAGTTTGGTTAGGCCTTTTTCGAGGGGTTCGAGGTTTTCTTGTGGAGATTGCAAGAGGGGAATTGCTGGATTCAGAGAGAGTTGAAGATGGAGAAGACGAAATCGAAGTCCAAGATGTTGATGGAGATTTAATAATCTCAAGGTCTAATCTATATGCTTTTCCACCTCCACTTAAAAAGGACGACATTTGTAAATTCAAACAAAAAAAAAATCCCTTCACAAATATGAATAAAGATTCAAACTAATGGATTCCCACCTCGACTCAATGTCATCGCGACATAGTGATTCCAAGTCATCTCGACTCAACACTCAGTTTGAATTCAAGAACCTAACCAGATGTTTTCAGATAGAAAACTGCAAATGGTAAAGAAAATAAGAAAGTGCCAATTGGACTGAAGAAGTTAAAAGAACTCTGCAAACAAACTTAAACAGAAGTACTACAGAATCCTAACTCGAAAATGCAATAATAAGCAAACTTTTTGATTGATTAAAAGCTGGAAAAAAAAAGTCAGAACAAGCCAAAAGTAAATAAACCTTCAAAACCCAGAAGGGAAAAGGAAAGAAATTAGTATTTCAGACACTGGAAAATCCTTGACAATCTTGAAGTTATCGAAAGTGTGAAAATCCCAGAATTGTTGCACCAGAATGGACCCTTTTGTCTACCTGCAGTAGCTATTTCAAGAACCATATGAATGCAAAACAGAAATCCCAAAAATCCTAAGATTTCATAACATAGGATTTGTTTGAAGAAATGTGTATGTATCTCAAGAATGGTTCAAGGAATTCAACAAGTCTCAATTCTTTGAGCATATATAGAGAGAGATAGGGAGGGAGGGAGAGAGGTATGTTGTGTACATTGAGTCAAGCGATAAAAATAAAATAGCAGAAGATACATAAACACATCCCCTCTATATGTATCGAACTATATGTTTGGGGTACAATGTTGGATGACAACTTTGTTGATGATATAACACGTGTCATGTTGTCATTTGACAGTTTAAACAATAATTATTTTTTTCAAATAACAGTCTTTTGTCGACGCATACATTGTCAACAGCGTTATCACAACATATTGTCTTTGAACAGTTTGAAAAATAACTTATTTTTTCAACCAACAATTTTTTGTCGACCCATACATTGTCGACAATGTTATTCTATCATCCAATATTGTACAAAATAGCTTCATTCTATTTTTTGTTCTCTCTCTCTCGACTGGATGAATGAATGAGGGGCTGGAGATGACGGGGAAGGGGACCAAAAGTTCCTTAAAGTGGGTCACATTTGTTTCTCTTTCTACCCGTCTCTGCACTTTTGGTACAAATTATGCTGCTATATATTACTGTTATGTCCTTTTACTAAAAACCTCCTTACCTTTTTTCCCTTCGATGATTTGTTTGGCTCTCAACTTGGAAAAAAGTTTATTTTAAAAAAGTCAATTTAAAGCCAAACCTAATTTAAAAGTTTAATTTATAAATAGATTAAAACGAATTATAGATAAGTGAATAATGATCATGAGTCTATTGAAACGCATAATTGAAAATAAAGTTTGACAATTTATATATTTTGCCAAATGAATATACAGAAAAAGTTAAAAATTAACATGTTATCTATTTTGAAAGTACAAAAAGAGTCTTTTATAAAATCATAATTTTTTTTATCTAAAAAATAAAAAAAGTAAGTTATTAAGAATTTTTTTTCCCATCTCAATTGCGACTTTTGAAAAAAAAAAAAAATCCCTTCAATTTAGCTATTTATTTTATTTTATTATTATTTTATTATTTTTTTTGCTATGTTAGGTATGTATTTAAAAAAGTTGTGTTTTATATTTAAACAATTACTTAACCTTGAGGGGTTGCTCAGTTGGTCTGACCTTGTGTTTGCTCTTCAATGGTCACCAGTTCAAGTCCCCTCAGTGCCACTGAGGTGAGTACTCGACCGTAAACTTTAGGGTCCCGTGAGATTAGTCGAGGTGCGCGCAAACTGGCCAGAACATCTACGGTTATAAAAAATATATATATATTAAAACAATCACTTTCAAACATATAATAATAGAAATAATAAATATTTAAATTAAGTATTAATCCAAAAGAAATTTTATAATGTGATTCGTATATAATATTCAGATCTCACGGATGAGAATACTCAATACTCTTCGAAAAATTCGTTGCAATGAAATCATTTTAAGTTGTACAAAAATGAAATAAAGAAAGAATATAGCATATTTTTCATTCACTTACACCTAATTATTAATAAATCTTTACAAAGGGAAAATTCTTTTTGTGAATACTGAAATATATCACAAAATCTTAAAAATACTTCGACTCATATTTATTTTTATGTGTTACCCAATATCTAAAAAAACTCTTTTAGTTTCATTATTTTATTTCATATTCAAGGATGGGGGCATTTTGGTAACTTTATCGTATCTAATCCTAATCGTGGGCACGCATGAAGTTCCATATTCCTGTTCTATCTTTAGTATGCAACAAGTACCAATTGCAATAACAATTTCATTGATGGGAAAGTGTCTCTTATCTGCGGACGTGGCATAAATTTATTGGGTACTTGAGATTTTTAGGGGTGATGTGGATTATCTTCATTGGTTGGTGGATTTTAACATGTACCAAATTGGGGGAGGAATTTTGGATCTAATAAGATGAGGGTAATGATTTGAACCTTTTTTGGTGTCTTGTGCCTTATTGTGTGTGGCGTTTGGCAATCATACGTTGGGCTATTTATGTTCAATGGGTTTAGATTAGAGTAATCCAATTTAGTTTTGAGATATTGCTCGAGAGCCCTTACGATATTTACGACGTTGAAAAGTACAAGAACGAGTTTGATGTTGACTAGTGTATACATGTAATTTGAATTAAAAAATAATATATATGTCCGTATCAAAATGGGGATGGACTAGAGTTATGTACTTATAATCTAATGATCATGTGGTTCCAAGACTATGAGTTCATTCCGCACCGAATAAGATCATAAAAAGTTTATACATATTCTCAATAGATCGTTCGAATTATAATAATGTTTATGGAATCAACTTTGTAGTTTAGAAGACTCGGATCTTCACCATTACCAAGTAGGCGCTTGAAAAGGGACCACGACATATTTACGAATAATTGCTTGCCTAAAAGGAATGGTGAAGTAATTTAAGCATATGTCTGACGAGTGTTTATAAACACTCTTACATCTTTTCATCTTGCGGAATCAACTTTCTAGTTTAGACAACTCAGATCTTCAGCATTACCAAGTAGTGACTCGAAAAGGGACCGCGACATTTTTACGAATAAGTGCTCACCTAAAAGGAATGGTGAAGTAATTTAAGCATATGTCTGGCGAGTGTTTATAAACACTCTTACATCTTTTCATCTACACATTTTGTGGAATTAACGAGTATTATCCAATTCCAATTATTTATGATTTATTTTTATCTATTTATAAATGGAACCGTTTATAGTTCTTTTTACCTTACTTTACAAGAGTGGCAAGATTCAAATTTAACTCATTGGGATTAAAGATCAGATTTTCAAGACTTTAGGGTCAATAGCACATACTACCAAAATATCTCCTTTCTTTTCTTTTTCTTTTTGAAGTACTAATATATCTCGATTTAAAAAGAGTCGAATGTAAATAAGACGAGACTTGTATCTCTTCGGAGTAGATATCGCCATAGAATTGAAGGATATCCATATATCTAATCTTGGCCACACATGTTGGTGTCTTGATTATTTTTGCAAACTACGTATTACCTTATCTTATAAAGAACGGTTTGAAAAGATAGAAATTTCAGGATAGATGTGATTTACAAAAATCTTTGTGGGGCCCATGATTTTATTTTTAAATCTTAATTTTACATGAGTGCATTGAATGTGAAGAGCACTATTTGGTTTTTTTTTTTTTTTTTGGAGTTAAAGTTATGGAAAATTTTATTTGTATAATCGAGATTGACAACTTCTCACATGTGTGTGGGGTCCGTATGTTTAAAAAATTCAAGAACAAAAAAGTGGACCCCGCATGTAAGTGGTTGTCAATCGAGGTTATCAATCTGGATTGTACAATTAGCATGACTCTAAAGTTATTGTTATTATAAATAATCACTCGATTACAAATGTCTACATTGAATTAAACAAGATTGACAATTATATCCATGATTTCTTTTTTAACTTCTTTTCGGTCGAGATTAGTATCAGATTTTGAAAGCGAGAATTTGAATTGTAAAATGTTGTCCAAAATTCAGAATGCTGAAGGACACGACAACCCATCATTTACCTTGTGCCTTGCAGTTGTCTCATTGAAGATATTTTTTGATCTCAACGTAATTCAACGGTAAAACAGTCTTTTCACCAACTAATGGTTGATGAATTTGGAGGAAAGTTATCTTTAGGGTGTGTTTGGAACACATTCTTTTAAAATAATGTATTATTGAATAGTAGATTGATGGAGACTTAAAAATGAAGGAAAAATTATTGATGTAATGGAAAATATTATTTTATTGAAAAATGTGTGGTTGAAAATGAGTAGAAGAATGAGAATTAAAAAAATAATGTGCACCAACACAACTCTAATTATTATGACTATTGTATCCTGTGTAACCTTAATTTTTTTCCAATAAATATTGGACTTTGGTTCTCAATGAAATGCATACAAGTTTATTGACTTATCTATTTTTTTTTCCTGTATTTTATAGCATGTTCATTATTATAATATATTTTAAGTTTTTTATATAACATTCTTGTTGGGAATTTACTTAATCATGCACAGCGGAAATAAAACAATTTTCAATTCCCAAACGAGGATCTGCAATGTGTTTAGATAGAAACTGTGATGAGAATGATACCTTTGATGAATTCCACAAACTCTTTTGCTTTTTCTTGAACTCCAATGATCACGATCTGCAATCCAAGCTGTCCAATTGTCCAGCCTCCAAT